GTGCCGCGTGTTTGTAAAAGTCGGGCTATCCAGGCTGACATGACTATACAATACCGATAAGTTGATGTGAAAGAAAATACGTTTAAAAGTAAAATTTCACAAAGTAATTTAAGTTTTAACTTCAGCCCTAGGTAATGAGTAAAAGATTAGCACAGGGGATTTAAGATTGAGACAGTTGTCTTTATGGTTCCGCTCTAATCACTCACTACTTCGTCTACTTCGTTCGTTTTTGGTGTCAGTAACTATGATCAGATTTTATTTTATTGGATGCATGGTGTTTCATTCGTTTTTTATTTTATGCTTCGAAACAATACTTTAATTGTAATCACTAATCAAGTAAATCTAAGTCCAACGTAATAATTTATATATATATAAAACCCATGTTGGTGCAGTTAATATCTGCACCTATACCCCATCACATGGTACCTACTAGCTCTCCATCCCAATAAATACACAGATATCAGTGGAATATTCCGCGCTGAGAGCATTCAGGAAAATAACATGTGTCATCAAAAGTAAATATCACCTGAGACTCTCCAGTTATTATATCCCAATATTATGGTGGAAAACATATCGTGATAGAAAAATCACCAACATTAAAACCAACAGAGTCTCCGTTCTCTGTTGTACTAGATATCTAGTAATAGTGTGGTCAAAACCAAGTGACATTTAGTAAAGAGAGTTAAGTCTGAAATAAATGAACTCAGTCAGAAGTGCGGTTATGATCGGCGCATCTGCTGTATTTATTATCACTTTCCGTTGTGGAACGAGATTTTCTCTAACAACGGGTAGTTATGAAAATACCCGTATCTATGGTTTTCGTCTCCTGGTTACTAAATTATGATGACACCGTATGAGTCATCTCTATGGTTGTCGTCTCCTAGCTACTAAAATGCGATGACACCGTATGAGTGATCACTCTCTCATATCGAATCCTCTGTTCCAATATTCGGTCCGGTCCCTCAGCCCGGTTCTGAAATATTCTACTTAGGTCCGGTCCTATGGTCCGGTCCTAAAAATCCACTTGTAGGTCGGGCCCTCTGGTCCAGTACTAAATGTCCGTCCAAGGTACTTTGTCCACAATAGATAATTTGTTTGTTTGTTTTCTGCATCTCAATATATCTAAATTTGTTTAGATTCTAATTTGATAACATTGCATTGACAATTATCTACAGTCGCGTTTCAACATATACCACGTGTTGTAACCGTATTGCATTCTAGCGTCCATACGTTTATAATATATGTACGTTTAACATGTGCTTCTCAACAGCCTTGCCAGTAAATAGCTGTAGCTGAATTAGCTAAAGAATAGGTATTTGTGTAAGACTTTTCATTGAGTTGCTCGTCTCTTCGTGTTACCATGCGCACGTTTTTTAGCACGTCGGCTGTCCGTTTCATCAAATCTGCGAACGAATATGTATTTAGAGTGAATATCTTTTGTGCCTGGGATAATGGCAGATACAGGAACAATACCAGATAGTTTGTTGAGTTGCTAATTGAGAAATTCATCGCACACTTTGATTTCGACAATTCTTACTTTTAAAATAGTTTATTTAAGATCAAACAACTAGTTACAAGTCTTATAAAAATCTCTCTACACGATAAGAGTAGTGTAGGAGAATTGCCTAGCTGATTCCGCGGCTCATACCCGAATCCCAACGTCCGAAAAGGAGAGGTGAATGCCTGGATATCAGTGTGCCTGCGCTTGTAACTTGTACCTTCCTATCCTGGATAACTCGCCAGATTACACTAAGGAAAGAAAGATAAAAACAATGGGTGGTGCGGGTGGGGAACAAGGGAAAGAAAAATACCAATACCTGGAGGGTATTAGTGTCTTATATAGTTTAGCCCGGAGGGCTTAAAAGTATCTAATACGAACATCTATGAGGAGCGTAGCTCTATAGATGAGAGTATTTTAAGAATAGATACCAATAAATAGGTATACTAATTCTTAGTTCCATTCCGCCACCGTAGCTGTGCGAAGGTCCCTTAATCTGAACAATAGCCCCTAGGAGGGTATATTTACAGCACACGAGGGTCAAAACGTGTGCGTACTATTGACAGCAAAGCAGGCGTGCGCAAACATCCATTGTAGTGAATATCTGCGTCCGTAACAGCCGCTGCGCGGCGATAAGAAGTCAAGAAGTTTTCTTTGATGCAGAGAGTTGTAGCGATATTGCGGTCTGGAACGCCCAAATCCTTGCAACTAGCCACAAATCCACGACGGAGACCATGCCACTTCATTTTCTCGATAATAATTGCGTGTATTCCTGATTGGACTAAGTATGTCTTCAGCGTCGTCAGTGATTTCTTAAAACCACCAGGAAGAAGAGTCGGTAGTTGGGTACGAATGGTATTCAGCAGGTGTCTGGAAAAGAAAGTGTATAGTTCCGGACTGAGCGGTCGAGTGAAGTTGCCTGGCGTCGACGATCGATGTCCACGTTTGCGAGAAAGCAGCGTGATTTGTATTTGATTGTGTTCAAGGAACTGGATCGGATCGACGGTGACGCCTGTCAGAGAATTATAGCACATACCCGTGACGAAGCAGAAGACAATCAACGTGCGTGCATGAAGATGCACATGCTCGCACGTTTCTATGACGGCAAATTGAGCAGCGATAAAAGTGAACGTATTGCTGACGTCCTTCACACCGCCTGCTTCGGAGCGATATCCTTGAAGCGCGTCAGCAAATGGTACCAGTGGCAATGCATTTTGCGTAGAGCGCGATTGGTTGAGCATTTTACGCCATTTGTGGAATTCGGTGCGAAGAATCTTGGAGTCGTGGACTGACATAGGCTGTGGCTTGTTCAGCATTGCAATCAGGAAGTCCGTGAACAAATGGGCTTCCGATTGAGGATGCACACTGCTGCCCCAACAACAAGAGCGAGCGTATCGCTAATATTCATGAATTAGGGTCTCATAGCGTGTTGCGGTTACCTGCAGAATTCCTTCCGCTTTTATACGAACTTGCATTGTTGAGAGGTCAAATCTGAAGTCGAAGGATCGTAGAGAGCGGCCGCGTAGCGCCATGGTGGTCGTGTAGCTCCTATCTTCTCCACAATCTCCTGAGGGTAGTGGACTGAGCCAAGAGGAAGCAGTTCCATTGCTACTGCATGTTGCACTAGGTTCGTCCACCAGATTGCCGTGTACCAAATTGGTACTATTAATACTGCGCGTGTCAGTAACCCAAATTGGTACTATCAATACTGCAATCGTCTGTTCTACTAATGGCTCTGGAGGAGTCATTAAATAACATGTCTTGTCCCATCGTTTGTGAAACGCATGCTGCTGGAGCCGGTTCGAATGGAATGCGAAATTGTGATAGTAATTCCAAGGAAATAGGTCTTCGTCCGGGGAGAAGCCCCATTTCTCTTTTAGTAAAGTTTGGTATACCTCGTGAAAGCAGCAATACTCTGAGGGATTGTGAGGCTGAGACATTGCCTATATATAATCCTCTCAGTACTCTTTTCACCGAAGGGATTTTATTTAGTGTTTCGTTGTCGCTCTAATAGAAACTATGGTATGTTTCGTTGGGGCGAATCCGAGAGACTCATAAAATCCTATCTTTAGAAAAAAAGAATAAAAGAAGAAA